AGCAGCAAGCAGCAAGCAACAGCAGCCCTCTTCCTGTCGCTCGTACTCTGTCCCGGGTACATGCCATTCGGGAGGGCAACACTCAGCCAGGGTGGGCCTTCCCATTACGCACACCCACAAGTGAGCCAACCCGTGAGTGGACTAATGCAGTAGGCACACGCCATTGATCCCAGCATGACACGCTCTCGATCCAGCCACCTCTCAGAAGCCTGACCTGTGACCACATGGGGCTTTGAGGGGACATCTAGACACCAGCCATAGCAGTTACTTCACCACCAGGCACAGCTCTGCACGAGTCTGTAAGTGAACACTAGACAGCAACAGAACTGAATCCATAACTGCCAAAACTGCCAAAACTGCCAGTCAGCTGAAACCGGGAGGAGGCCCAGGGGGTCAAATGCAAGGTCCTGTCCCGGTCCGGTGACTCCCTTACGTGCTAATGGATCCCAGTTCGAAACGCTCACTCGGGCAGTCTGTGTCCTTTAGGTTCTCAAAAATAATGAATTTGAACTCACACCTCCTATTATTCTGCAACTCCTCCTCACTGTTTCCCCCTCTCAAACAGGAAAAGCTTCCCAAATTTCAAAGAGTTGTGTGCCAAGGACAGTGCAGAGAGCAGGAATCTGCGCACGAAGGTAAACTGGAGGCTGGGATGGGGGCTGAAAGTGTTTGAAGCAGAGAGAAAGGGGTGAATTTGGAAGAGATTCTGTGCCAGATGTGGTTGTTTTCCTCACTGAAAGCTTGAGAAATTCCAGTTGTGTCTCCTGGAATCATAGCAATGGCTGTATTTCTGCTTCACGAGGCAGAAGGCTTGGGAGCACACGAGGCTTAAGGGATGTCACTGGGCTCTTCAGGAAGGGTTCATGAGCGTCCAGGAGCAGCGGGTCTCTGGCTGCCATGCTGGTCCCTGCTGCTGGAAAGTAGCTTCCCCCATGCACTTGGGAGGCTGTGCTAAGGCTTCCGTACTCCAGCACTTAAGCCCCAGAATGTTTTAGGAAATCAGGGCCTGTGCCTCTTCAGTCTTCGCTCTACCTCTGACACAAGGGAGCACCCTGACTGCGATGGAGAAATCCTGTTGGGACAGGTGTTCCAAGGGCAGCTCAGCTCCTGTCCCAGTGGGTACACTTGGGACTGATTCGTGGGTGTGCTGTCCTTCCCCTCTGCTCCTCTGAGCACACAATGGGTCTTCAGATTCCTTCTTCAGTGCCCAGTGGGCAGCAACACTGTCTCCCGATAGATATGAGAACTACCTTGGGGACTCGGGAATTCAGTGGTGGATCCTCACTGATCAGATCTCAGATTCTGTTTCCCAAGGAATTATGCCATGTCCCTCGGAGCTGACACCTTGGGAGGCCATATTCTACATGGCCCAGCAGAGGCTCTGTCTAAAGGACTCCTTTGGGGGACTCACAGGAGGAGGTGAAGTTGGGCATGGCCTCCAGTCTAGCTGTGGGGCAGCGACTGCAGGTGGTCTGGCACAGGCGGGAGCTTCTCAAACATGCCGTCTGAGGCTCACTGCTCCATTCCACGGTGCATGGGCCTGGACACTCATCAAGGGCCCGAGCATGGGACAGTGGTCAGGGGTGGTGCTGGGACGTGGGCTGAAAGAAGCTGAGACTTTACTTCCAGCTGGCAAGAGGAGCTGGCTTCTCTTACACTGCTCTAGGAAAGTCACTGACTAACCTCAGCTTCATCACCTAGAGAGGGGAAAAATAAGTGAACTGTTCAGGCAGCACAGTGTGGCAAGGAGCAAGAGTTGGGGCGCTTTCTCCGGGATGTTCCCCAGAGTGGTGAAGATGAGAACAATAATTATATAAAACGGAGCCCTCAGGAGATGCTGTGAGGCAGGTGTATGTCGAGCCCAGGAAGCGCATTCAGGGTTGCCAGGCCCCATACCCAGAGCGACTAACCAAGGGAGCATGGGCGCTGGGAATGAATCTACAAGCATATTCGAGTGGCAACAGAGCTATACAAGCGGACAGGAGCCAGATATGCAGGGTCTCCGCTCAGGGAGACAGTTATATAAGGGGAGAAAATTCTCAACCACCCTGTCTGGCCTGGCAGGAGGGACTCTCCAAGAAGGCCACCCTGGAGAACAACCCCCAGAGAGCCCAGATGGTGCAGCAGCAGAAGGGCAAGGTGAGTGTCCGGTGGCAGGGAGGGTTCTGGGAGTCAGAGGACAGGAGAGCCTCCCGTCCTCCCAGGACATTGCCCAGAGAGTGCAGGGTGCCTTCCTCCTCCAGCCTTTCTCTGCTTTGCTGGAGGTGCCTCCACTGGAGAGGCCAGAGGAAGACTTGGAGGAGCTGCACACAGAGCAGATAGGGGCTAGAGGTGGAGATGGGCACACCATCAGGGGATCCACGTTAGTTATGGTGGCACATGCCCGCCATCCCAGCACTCTGGGAGGCTGGGGCACAAGGATCACGAGTTCAAGCCCAGTTTACACAAATCGATGACTTAGCAGGGCCCTGTCCCTAGGTGAAAGATAAGAGAAGGTTGGGCCAGTGGCTTGGTGCAAAGGCCCTAGTTTCAACCCTCGGTATCATAAAAGGAAATCAAGTACCGTGAGGTAAGTAGCGGTGTTTGGTGTCCTAGGAAGCCAGGCAGGAAGGCAGGAGTGAGAGAATTGGAAGGGCTTAGTTTGGTGTCCCAGAGGGGGACAGGAGACACCTGTGTGAAATGTCAGGGGGCCTGACTGGGAGCTGGGCTGGGGACTCATCATCTGCACCACCCATGGCACAGGGCACCATCCCCTTCCTTGGCACATTCCTCACTGAGCTGGTGATGCTGGACACTGCCATGAAGGACCACGTGGACGTGAGTGGCCCTCGGGGAAGCAGTTTGGGGACAGGATCCTGGGGCTTGGAAGGGAAGGCCCTTGTGCTGAACCCGTAGGCGCTGGCACTCAGCAAACCTACTCTTATGAGATCCTCACAACTGCCCTGTGTGCTGGAGCCTTCAGGTCCGTCTTGCCTGGGAATGAAGGACCCTGCAGTGCCCCCAAATCCCTCTTTTCCAAGTCCTGAAGCGGCAGAGCTGCCTTCCTGCAAAGCTGCACAGGGCCTTGCTGAGCTGGACTCAGCCTCTCCTTCAGATGGTGGCCAAGGGAGGAGAGACAAGTGGAGACCCCAAGGCCAGGAAGCACCTACAGGGCCAGTACTCCCTTCCTCTGCGAGGCCACAATTTCCGGTCTGACATCAACGGGCACTTGATGGGAGCCTCAGCTCCCATGGCGTCCTCTCCAGCGCCCAAACCTGACTGGGGACCTCGTCCTCCTCTGTGCACTCCCGATGCTAGTGGGCCCTGCCATGATTCCACCATATCCAAGGGTGGGGAAGGGCTGGCTAGTCACGGTTCGGTCTTTCTCACGCACTCTTGCCATCTGCCTTGCAGGGGAATCTCGTCAACTGTGAGAAAATTACAAAGGTAAGCAGCTGTGTCCCGCAGTTCCACGAGGGCAGGAAGGCAGAATTCCTCCTGGCAGGACGTTCCCTGGCTTCACCCTCTGCATCTTTGCTCCATTGGCAGGGTTTTGTACACACAGAAAGATGAAAACCATCCCAACGAGGTGTGTGCTTAGGGGACTGGACACATGTACAGCCAGCTGGACATGGGGTTGTTTGCACCCAACTCTGAGAGCGGTTTAGAGATTGGGCGGGATTGAGAAGATCAGGGACAATTAAGAAAATCACCCTGTAGACCAGCCCTGGACTCTTCCTGCCTTGATCACAGCCCTCACCTCATTTCCGGTGCAAGCCCTCTCAGTACCCTGTCTGTTCCTCTCGCCCCAGGAAGCCAAAGTTCTCCAGGAGATACAGCTGTTCCAGGTGGCAGCGAGTAAATATAATTTTCAGCGTGAGGAGAAGGTTGAGGTCTGGTTCCACTCGAGGGAGTGGCTCAGTGAGAACGAAAGGTGAGCACCAGGCAGGACTCGTGTGAAAGCCCAGGGGTGGGGAGGCTGTCCCTGGCTCACAGCTGCAGAGAGCCCGTGGCCACAGCTCCATCGTCGTCCACACACCCTGCAGCATGGTGACTGCTGGGGCACCGGGACTCGGGCTGCTGGGCAGGCCCTGGTAGGGAGACTTGAGGTGAGGCTCTCCGTGGGCTCACAGGTTCCTCTCTGTCCTCAGCTACAACCTGTCCTGCCTTCTGGAGCCCCGACAGCGGCGGGACAGCAGCACACTCAGGAACAGGAAGATTTCATCATGAATCTCAGGAACCACTGACTGCCCGAGCTCTCAGGGCCAGGCAGACTCAGCACTCGGGGAAGTCTGGGCTGTGAGCTCCAGAGACGGAGAACTCACTTCCAGCTCCACTCTGACCGGCCTGGGAACAGGGTGGGGCGCCTCGCTGCTCTGCTCCTCAAGGCCCCGTTGTCACTAATTTGATTTGCACATCCAGTGCCTTTCTCTTTTTCACATATCTTTAACTTCTCTAAGCTTCTTGTATTTCTCAGTGTTTTTACTCAAATTAATATAGATAGGTTGGTTATGCATTGTGTTTTAGTCTACTTTGTGATTTTTTCACTATAGGTCAATAGTCTGTGGGTTCCTTGAGGTCAGGTCAGTTGAGATCATTGAATGTATTTCATTTTCTGCTATTAAATTTGAGAATCTATCTGTCCATCTCTCCATGCCCCCATCTACACCACAGCCATGAGATATCTGTACAGCTTGAGGCGGTTGTAAATCCTGCACTGAAGCCAGTTATGTGGAGCTTCCTGCTATTCGCCCGTGATGTTCTGTGATGATGCCTCATCGGGGAGGTGCCCAGTTGGCGTCTGTCTGACTCTCTCCTGCGCTTTCTTGCCTGGCTTTTAGAATTCAGCTTCCAGTCCTCTCGTGCTACAGGTGTCACCCTCTCCTCGCAGTGTTTCCACATTCGTGGTTTCCTCACGACAGATCCGTTAAATCCTAAGAACACAGCCACAGCATGTCAGCAGGGAAAATGCCTAAGTGTTTATTGTGTATGCTAGATCAAGCACTTTCCACACCTTCTCAAAACTGGGGAGAAGAAAGTATTTCCCAATGTCTTTTAGAGGCACACTATACCCTGGTACCAAAGCCCGACCAGCGTGTACAGGGAAATTATAAGCCAACATCTCTCACAACCATATCAATTCTAAACCCAATACTCACAAGCTAAACTCGGCAGTATATTGTCAGGACCATTTGCATGATAGTGTGGAGTTTCTCCCTGTGATGCCAGCCATGTCTGAATACATTTAAGGCGGAAACGCGATGCCACGCATTAACAGAATTAAGACGTACACACCTCAGGGTCATGTCACCTGACTGCAGAAGGAACTCGCGCTCACGTTATGCATCTTTTTATGCTAAATGCTCTAAGCAAATCGAGTAGTACGGAATGTAAGTCAACACAACAAAGGTAAGGTCATTGTCATAAGCCCACAGCTGTCATCACCCGGTGAAAAGCTGAAAGCCTTTAAGGTGAGAAACAAGACAAGGATACTCACCGTCAACACTGCTACTCAACATGGTGCTGGAAATGCAAGTCCGGGCAATGAAGCAAGAAAAAGAAATTAAAGTCCTCCAGATAGAAAACTGCAGAAGAGAAGTTGTCACTTTATAGACGGGATCAAAAGCTGTTAGAATAAATGCAGTGACATTGCAGGACACAAATCAACATACAAAGTCACTCGTGCAATGCACAAAGGACAGCAAGAGAACCATCTCTTTTACCGGCAGCAAAAGAGAAAACAAAACTTGGTTGTCTCTTTTCAAAAAGGAGTTGTCCTTGTTTCAGTGGCCACTGTGGCTGCGAGATGTGGACAGACCTGTCAGTGCTCTGCCCAGGACAAGCACGGTGGCAGGAAGGGTGGAAAAAAGGAAGGAAGGAAGCAAGGGACAGAGGAAAGGAGGGAGGGAGGAAGGGAAGAAAGAAGGAAAATGCAAGGAGTCTTTCCCTACACGCTTGACCTCCTGCCCACAGCGGTTGGTCCATTTTCTGGGCCTCTCCCAGGGTGCTGGGGTCCCCAGGGCATTTACATCACTGAGCTAAATGCATGCTGGGAACGAGCCCTATCTTTCTGCCCAAGCCCTAAAAGTCAAGTACAAACACATGCCCTGTTTTGGTGCGAGGGTCTCCGCCCTTACAAGCTAGTGGGAATTGCGCATTTTT